GAAGGTTTCGAGTTTGAAAAGCCAGCCGAAGGAGGCGATGCTGCTGATGCGGAACAACGCAATGTGTTAATGGCAAAAAGAAGTGTTCTGGAAATCGAATCCTCCTTCGCACAAACATTGCTTCAGTAAAATTTCCGCCTGCCACATCGTTTTTGACAACCAATGTCGTGAATAATTATTCATGAAAAATAAGGGATATGAAAGAAAGGATATGTTCAAAATAAGTTGCGAAATGGGAATGCAGCAGTCGTAAATTATCAATGATCTTTAATATTGCGCAGATTTTTATGGCTCTTTATGATAATAATTTTACTATGCCGAAGTTGTAAATTCCCACGCTTAGCTGTTATTGAGAATTGCCATGGGTTGACCTCCCGCCAACCAAGCCATTGTTTCGAGTTAAACAGTTCGTTGTATTTTGATAAGCAGATTGTAGCAACCAGGTTGACCAGGGAAACCAAAATGGCAAAGGCGCAATAGATATGCAGTATGAGAGGAGGAGATAAGAATGAGATAAGACGTTTATATGAGTATGATAAAATCGTTTTAATCAATTTGCACTGATTAGCGTCTTTTTTAGAGCTGCAGACGAGACGGACTTCGTTACAGCATTTGAATCACTGAAATGGATGAGTATTTCGTCGATTGATTTTCAAATTCGTATTTTACCTCAAAGAGTAAGTCTGTTTAATAGGAATACTTTGATATTGTGATTCGCTGTGTTTTTGCCGTAGCGTATTTTGCACTGTCAGAGCATCTAAAAGTCTTTCCATAGTTGTTATGATCAGCAGTAACAAGACCAGTGTGTTAGTTCTGGCTTTCTTTGTTTCTCCACATTGCTTTATCGCGTGTTTTAACTTTCATTCCAATTGTGGTAATGGTAAGAAATGTATACGACTTAATGGGCTGAAACACTTCTTCCCATTATAATAATCTTACAAATTTTTTTAATTTTCATTTCTTACCTTCTTTTTATGCGTTTTTTGTATCTATGCAATGCAGAAAACGCATGTTGACGAGGGGTTATCTGCCTATATGTACGTGTTTGTACCGATTTTTTATCTCGAGACCTACAAAATCTACAACGCTGAAGTTTTAGGAACTTAATCTACATGCTCGTACTGCCCCCATTCCCAAAGTGGGCGTTCTTACCCATGTAGTCCTCACGTACGGACCCGTGAAAGTTTTTTTTTTTTTTGAGTAGTTTGCTAACCTGGACACCTAATAGGCTAGAAGACTGGAATTTTAAGGGGATGTTGTCCATACAAGTAGGTAATAATGAGCTCAAGCCCAGCCCTCAGATATGCTTGTTCCCACGTACGGGCCCATGAAAGTTTTTCCGGGATGTTGCTAACTCTGGGATTTGAGGGAATTGTTCTTGACAGTCCTGGCGGCCAGTTACAATTCTTTTAGCTAGAAGCATCTGCCAGAAAAAATAGTGCCCTTAGCGGCAAAGATCTGCGGGGGACTATGCAAAAAACACATCTTCGCACCGGCATTTGGTGCGCTGGCCATTTATTTCTTTCTCTTTATTTCTTGTTATAATTTACTATTTCAGTTCGTGCATACTTGTGCTGTCCATTTAAGCCATAACCTGTAGGGAAAAGAGTTATGAATTAGTTGTACAGGAATTTTCATGGGCTGTGGGGTATGGAATGCAGAGATTTTCAGGTTTCATGTAGCATTTTTGCTAGATATGTAAAATTAAACGTATGTTACTGTTATTTTCTTTTACTCTTACTACATTAACCAAACCATGAAAAATTTTCAGGCTTTGACCAGCTTCCTGAAAATGCTTTTGGTCGTTTTGAGGAGTCATCGCGATTTTGAGCTCGTGCAAGCATATTTAGCAGCTTTCCTAAGAATACATCGGAATAAGCTGTGGACCAGTGATGCTGAAACGGAGAATCTGGAGAAGACGCTCGATGAATTGAGAAATGAATTAAGGAGCAGCTGGGAAAGGATGGATCAGCTGTTGCTGGATAATGCATCCATGATACAGTGGATTAAAACAGCCCTGTTGTAATATTCGAAAAATTTTAACTTTTACCGAAGTTGCAAGTTTTGTACATGTTTTCTTTTCCCGTAGTTTTTTATAACTCTATATAAGTTCCATATTTTGGTGGCGGAAGACATAACCCCTTGGTACGTAGAGTAATTCCTTGTGCTAAAGATTGAGGCTCAACTTCGCTATTGAGTCAACCAAGATAGTTGCATCTACGATTCGTTTTGATGGTAAATTGGCTCCAGAACTTACTAATGAACTGTTTGCTTTAGAGCAATCTTTGTAAGAACTGCTTATCAGCAGGTTTACCAACGAGTGGTTGCTTTTGGCAACAGAAATAAACGACATTTCTTAAAGAAAGAATGGAATATGGAGAAATTTAGGATGTATTTTAGTGGCAGTAGAAATCCTGATTTGGACAGTTTTGCATTTTTGGAGATAGCTGTGGTTTTGGAAAATAACTATTGGAAAAAGATCTAACAGAAGTAAGTAATCCATTTTTTTTCTGTTTCCCCCTCCTCTCCTGTTCCCTCCTCCCCCTCCCCCTTCCTCCTGTCCAATTTACATGACTTGAAATGAGTCCAGAGTATCCACCATCACCCTAGGTTGATTCGCATTTATATATCGAAGTGTTTCCCCTTCCAGCACATTCATACATGTGTCACATATATATGAATATGCATCCCGAAATGCTTCAAATTTGAGCAGACTGAGATCTATGAACTTTAAATTTTACATGTATTGCCTTTTAGGCGGCTTAGATCTGTCACTTTAGTTGTGTAAAATGCGCTTGAAATTTACTGCCGTTAAAAAAACCGTTTTATCAATTAAAAAATCCGGTTTTTTGGCAATTGTTCAGTTGCCTTTGCACGCCATTCTGTAATTATTTATTATATTGTTTTAATATATATGTGTGTTATGGAGTTTCTTCTTTCTGTATTGTTTAAATATAGATATGTTGTGATTTTTTTTATGCGCTTTTTGTGTCTATACAATGCAAAAATGCATATTGTCGAGGGGTTGTGCATGTGTGTGTGTGTGTGTGTGTGTGTGTGTGTGTGTATGTGTGTGTATGTGCACCGAGTTTTTATTTGTTATACGAACATTTTTGTAACTTTGTTGTTTGTTGTTGATTGTTACAGATAAATTTTTCAAATATGATATTGCGCTTGCTTCCGTAAATGATTATGAGTGCAGTAGCTTTTCTTCTGCCTCTGTATGTGGCATATTTTGCGAAATCGTGACTACGTTCCAGAGTATTATTTTTGAATTACGAACTATATTTTTAGAGAAAAATTGTATTTTTAGCTTTCGATTTTCAGGTAAACAAAATGTCCGACAAAGAAGATATTGTAAATGGAACGGAGAATCTTACACTGAATGGTAAGAATGCAGCAAATTTCTTACAAAACTGCTATGTTTGCTGGAAGAGAAATTTTTTTTTTCATAAAATTTTTTGGAAAATGAGGGAATTAGAGGAATAGAAAGGGAGGGCTTTAAAAGGGGAACGAAGAGTTTTTTTAAGCGTTAAAATAGACTTACTGTTAAAAATTTTTGACGAATTACTTGAAATTTTACCTCATCTTTGCTTTATTTTGTTGAAATGATATTGTGATTTTCCTCTTTTTTTTTCAGATCCGAAAAAAGATAAGAAATTGAGCAAGAAGGAGCTGAAAAAGTTGCAAAGAAGGGCCGAATATGAACGAGAAATACTGGCAATGGGTGGCACCATTGAAGGCCAAGAGGAAAAACCGACTGAAAAGAAAGGTATGTTTTAAGATATGAAAGATTGTACAGCATTTACTGGCAATAATGATGCAGTGGCAAGTGACTTTGCTCCTGTACTGAAATAATAGGATAAGGGACTGATCTAAATGCCATATGCAGCAGGGGAACTTAGGTCATGATCCATAGAACTTCAGCAGGGGAACTTAGGTCCTTAGAACTTCTGAAGGTCATGATCAAAGATCATCGAGGTCTCAGCATTATGTAATGATGTGATTAGAAATGAAATAGTGATTATTTTTGTGTGCCAAGTAATTGTGTGGTGGCAGCGTGGAGGAGCTGAACCATACAGTCACGTAGGCCGTTCGACTGTTCGCGTGTTACAATACTCAACCATACAGTTTAGAAGGCGGTGGAATTGGCGCAGGTGCTGAGCTTGGGGAACAGTTCTCTGTGTCGCAACAAGTAAAGTCTAGTGGACAACGCACTCAACTCGAAAATGCAGTGGACATAAAGGTCTGTCTACTTGACCATTTGAAAATCTTCGTTTTTTAAAATTTTATAATAAATTTGATCATTAGGTTAGGGATAGCAACGGACAAAGTTCCGGGGGAAAAAAAAAGAAACCTTTGCAGGTGGAAAATTTTGATATTGCTGCGCAAGGCCGTGTTTTATTTCATAAAGCCGATTTGACAATAGTTTTTGGGCGACGTTATGGACTTGTTGGACCAAACGGGTAT